TCGTGAAATTCGCAGCTACTTCAGCTCGCCGAGAAACGGCTATCCTCCGGGCTTAGACCCAAGGTTCCCGGGATTCAAAACTGGCGCGACACCGTTCGTCGGTTTGATGGCACCTCTGGGTGCGCCGCAGCCGTCGACCGTGTCCACCACCTCGCCCCTTTCCAATAAGGATCCGAAAGAGCAGAAGCAGGACACCCTGTTCGGCAACCCGGTGTTCCCACCGATGTTAGACATGTCGTCGACGCAGGCTCTTCTACACATGGTGAGGACCGCAAATGCCGCGCAAAATGCAGCAGAGCTCGAAACGTATCTCAAAGGTAATTTATCTACGATTATTAAGAAAAGTATATACATACATACATACATTCTTCGAATTCCAACAGTTCAAAATGACTAATTTATAATTTCTGTGAATAATATTATTATTTCGTGGACGCAGGACAGCGTATTTTAAATAATTTTCTCTATAATTATTAATTTATTTAAATTTTTAAATTTATATAATAAATTTATATAATTAATTATACAATTTTTTTCTATTAATAATTACTGCTGAAATCATAATTTTATTATATTATTTTATTATTTTATTTATATTTTTTTATTATTTTAAGATTATTAAATAATCAAATTTGTAGTTTATCCTATAAATTTACAAATTAAATTTAATTAAAAAAAACTAGATATAAATAAATTCGAGAAACATTTAATTTCTAAATATATATTAATATTCTTCATTTTACAAGAACGATTTATTTAATTTATATATATTATTTCATTTATTTTCGAGATTGTTAAATTATTAAATTAAATTAATTAACCCTAGTAGTACAAAAGGTACAAAATTAATTTTACTTTTGCGAGATTTAAATAATTTTTCATTTGTAAAAAGTATTATAATATAAATGTACACTGACGGACAGGAACTAAATTTCCAATGTTGAAAAAAATGATATTGAACGATATTGAAATTGTTGCAATTTTGTAACAAGAAATCACACAGCGAGTCTCAAAGCGTGAATCGTCCATCTTTACAAGTCTTGGATTCATTTTTGACAAAAAAATGTTCTCACATCGTCTGACAAGTGGGAAAGTAAAGATACCGTTTCTCCTTGAAAATGCTACAAGTTTAAACGCCTCTCGAAACATTCGATCGATCAATTTCAAATCATAAATTTGGAGATTGAAGCTTTTCCTTCGACCCAGAAAAAATTTGCTGTACAATTCCCTTCCTCCGTGTTATTGAACTTTGAAAACGTCCGAGGGCGACAAAAAAAATTCGACAAAGTCTTAAAATTTCCTCAAGTTTCGACTCGAGAGTACACAAAGATCGAATACTGTTTACATTATCGTTCAATTTCTTGCTACTGGAATTCTCGGAAAGTGTCGTCTTTATATTTTGATTACGTCGCGCGTACTCGAAGCTCGAGCACGGTTCAATAACTTTCGAACTGACAATAAGTTTAGTTTAACATCGGTCGCTCTAAACGTAGTACGTCGTTACGAAAACGTCCTAATATTCGTTTCTTCTTGAAAATTCAGTCGCAAAGCAGCTTCGTGATTCGATCCACCTCTCTCTTTGACTCGCGAGTAGACTTTTAAATCAACTGTGATACAATCAATCAACGTTGAGAGCAAAAGGTAAATCTTATTTCTAGACATCGTTGGTTAGAACGAGAGTCCTTCCTTTCCATTTCTTGCAAAAGTTCTTGGAGGAAGCATCTGTAGTACTTGAAACTGCAACCCTTTCAAACACTTTTTCGAAATGATTCTTTCGCGTACGAGCAGACACGCGACAGTATAATTATTCGAAGGGAAGCACAGTAGAAAGAATTTTCGACTGTGAAATTCATAAAAATGTCAACGCGGTGAATTATCGTGTGCGAATCAGGTGCGAACAAAAGAGACGCGGGCGTGACGAGCCCCTTGGATCTCTCGAGTCCAGGAGGGTTTGCTCCGCGCAAGAGGCAAAGGACGGAAACCAGAAGATCCGGAAGCGTTTCTCCGAAGCCGAAACCAACCCCTCGACCTACCACGCCACCCCCGGTCAGGTGTCCGTCGTTGTGTGGTCACATGCCTTGCGGCGATGGACAAGCTGTCAATCGGTGGACCATCGAGGACGTCGTCAATTACGTGTCGTCGATCGATATTTGCGCCGAGTACGCTCAGGTAAGTCTCTTAAATACGTTTACGTACGCTTTGCTTACGGTCGAGACTATCGCGAGTATCGCGAGTATCGCGACGATTGCGACGTTTAATACGACAGGACAAATAAACGCGGAACGTGTCTAGTGTTTGCCGAGTTTCGTAAGAAGAAACGCCACAGGCGCTGCTGAAACTTTGCACCGCGATGACGAAGAGATGCGAACCAATTGAGGCTAGGATTTTCAGCGCCGAGCGTGCTGTGTGTGCACGAGTCGAGGTTTGCTCACTCGGCTCGTCGAGAAAGGAAGGCTTGGAGTTTGTTTGACCCGAGTCGCGATTCAGTAGCCAGATAACAATCGGTCGAGATAATCTTTTACTCGATTACCACGAACGTCTTCTCTATACGTTTGATGGACGTTTGATGCAAAGTATCGGAGGTTTCGTAACGACCAATCGATCGGAAACACTCGATCTTTGAAAACACTTGCGCGTAAGTGGAAGGTGAAACTTTACTCGATTTTTTATTTAATTATTAGTTAGTCACTCGCTTAGTGACGAAATTGAGACACGAGACGCATAGTCTCGGACTATGCTGATCGAAAGTCTATATTTTTAACCTCTACCACCTTCGTCACGACTTTCTCGATGCTGCTCAATGACGAGTGAACAATCGAAAGAAAGACTCGGCAAAAACAAGTGTCGCGGTTTTAATTGCTTTCTCGTCGTAGCGCGATTTCACCGCGATAGAAATTTCTCTGTACACTGAGACACTTGTCTCGCGAGAGACGACTGCTTCAGAGAGAGAATCAAACGGTTGGCGAGAGAGTGCGTGGGTCGTTGGAATTACGAAACTCGAGCGAATGGCCAACGAGACGGAGAATAGGGTAGAACAAACGAACGAGTGGATTGAATGTGTTTCGAGAACGTGGCAGTTTTAATTGCTTTGGAAAGTGGTTGGCGTAATGAGGCGTATCGAGATCGGCCGTGCAACATCGTTGGAAAGAGTCTGGAGAGCAGTCTCCTCTCCTCGACTTGCACGTCGTCACGTAGATGAGGCAACCGGAGGAGGTCCAGGAAACTCTGAATGACCTGACATCAGTCAATCCGGACAGTCTGGCTAGCATCGGCCAAATAGACGGCTGTTCTCCGCTTAGCAGAGCTCTGTAATGACCCCTCGAAGCTAGGATCGACCCTCCCCCCTCTTCTCTCTCTCTCTC